TAAGAGACGGGACCTCCGGCTTTACGTCCTATCCGAGAAGACGAAACAATGTGAGTGAAGTGTCTTGCTTAAGGACTCAACGTGAAGCCCCAGCCAGGACTTGAACCCGGGCCGTTTAACCCAGAGTCCAGCGCACTGACCACTGGACTACTCACTCCTTTGTCGCTGCAACCATTGCACAAATTTGTTGCAAGACTGTGGCGTTGACGAGCTAGGGGAACAGGAAAGAGAAAGACCCTGGGAACGAGAGGAATACATCGATGTGTTGCGAACTGTTTCGCGGGTTTTTCTGGCCGGCCCGTGTCGTAAAATCTTGTGTGAGACCGCTTATCGTAAAAAACAAAGCAAAACTATTTGTGTGGCCTCGAAATTGATTGTGATCGCTTAAAAAGTTTGAGTGGTAGTCGCGCAAGGCAGAACTTTTTGGAACTTGGAGAGTCCGAGAGACGAACCCAAAAGCCGAGTTGTGAAAGCTACTTTCTATATTAATTGAGTCTTTTATCAATCAAAATTCTTGGTCAAGGAGAGAAAAAAAAAAAACAAAGAAAAGGAACAGAACGAAAAGTTTTCTGGAGGACCCGGGCATCGATCCCGGTACCTCTCGCATGCTAAGCGAGCGCTCTACCATCTGAGCTAGTCCCCCTCCACATCTACACATCGCAAATTTTAAATATTTAAAACCTTCACAAATTCATTCTGGTTACGTCACTACGTTTTTGCGCATGATCGCTTGTTCCACGAAAACATTTCAAACATGGCTGCCGTTTTGAATTGTCTCTTTAAATCCTTTCAGTGGATCCCTGTGCTGTTCATCAACGCAGTTATTGTCTGGTCTTACTATGCTTACGTCTTGGTTCTTTGCTTTGGTGAGAGCTTAAATTTTTGAGGCCTAAACGCGTTGAATTGTTGACTTTATGAGCATTATTCAGTTCGTGCTCTTGTGCCGAGTTAGTGCATGTAAACTGAAATTTCTGCCTTCCGGTTGGTTGGATAACTTTCTTAGGATTTTTTCTCTTTGTTTCGATTTCAGAGAGTGTGCAGTCTCCATTCGAAAGAGGTAAATTAAATTCTGCCAGAACTGTTTATAAAAGTCTCGAATATGGAAAACATTAATTACGATCTGATAAGATCGATGGAACTTGCGTACCATAATAATGTTCTGGTGTATTTCGTCATTTGATCACTTTCAAATGTCGCCAAATTATGATTATTTCCTTCTTTTAATTTTCAGCTGTATATTTGATCTTTTATCACCCTTTCTTCTTCATGTTGATGATTTCGTATTGGAGAACGATATGTGCCTCTTCTGGTCTTGTTCCTTCACAGGTTTGTTTAGGTTTAGATATTGGCTCAGATGTAATCGATTTAGCAACTAGTACAGTAACCATTTGCAAAATCATTAAAGAATGTTTAAACTTTTGAATTGTGACGAGTGTTATGAAAACGAAAATTGTTTAGATGAATTCCACCGCCTTGCATTGACTTTGATCAGATGACCTGATCTGGAACTAGGGTAAAAAACATAACACGTAACCTTTTTATACGTGTACAGAAACATTCATAGAAGAAGACTCAAAGCTGTATTCATCACAGACATTAAAACCTAGGATACTCGTAATTTAGAGCTAAAACTTTTCTTAATTGTTCTGAAAACTCCTGGCTCTAATGTTCCCTTCAGTTTAATTGCAAAAATAGTAAAAATTCCCAGACAGAGTGCAAACCCGGTTGGAAAGGGCCATTAATTGCAAAACATAGCAAATTGTATAAATTTTGAATTAATACACTTTTTCATTGAATGCTTATCATCTTTTAAGAGAGGTTTGAAGACTACACCTCCTACCTTATAATTAAATGCTAATCTTACTTTCAATTTGCAGTTTTTCTTGTCAAGAGCAGACAGGGAAGCATTAGATAATGGAGTATGTATTTCATTAAATATTTTAATTAATTTTACAGCCACTGTTTACTCAAGGTGCCCCCTTTGATGTTGCCTTTTCGAGAGAAGTAAAAAAAATCAAACCATTTAGATGTATGAGGATTAGAGAATTTGTTAAGGTTCATATGGTGCATCACTCAACAGCTCTGAGAATTAACATGTTTTAGAGCATAAGGTGAACTCTCTCATAAGCGGACATCCTCTGGAATTTGAAAAAGTTCTGTTACAGAGCTCGACACTTACACCAACTAGCCACAGACCAGTAGAATTCAGTTTTGGATAGTGGTTTTCAATTTCCATTAGCCAGTTTGGACAGTAAACAAACTGAAATTGTTGTAACATTTAAGTTGTTACTAGCCACTTGGCTAGTAAGTTGAAAAGTTAGTGTTGAGCCCTGTGTTAGCAGAACTGTCCGCCCACAAAAATTATTCTCATAAGTGGACACCAAAGGAAAATAGGTTGGATCTCTGCTTGTGGGAAAGTGCTATGTCTGACTCTTGTTAATTTCAAATAAATGGATGGTTTGCTTTCCTGTGGACAAATGGAGATTTAATAGAACCAATCCCACTGTTCTGTTCCATTATCAAAGGTTATATTTTTATTGATTTGCACACTCAAGTTAAATTTTATTGCCAAAAGTCAGTTATTATGCATGTTACGTACGATGCACGATCCTCGTAGTAGAGAGCGCTATTTATGCAACAGTGAAAATCAGACCTGAAAAAAATCAGGCCTGTACCGGATTCGAACCACCAACCTCTGCGATACTAGTGCAGCGCTCTACCAATTGAGCTAACAAGCCAACTGGGAGCAGGCCGTTAAGTTGATTCGTAATAAACCCGTGATGATAAATCAGATACAATGAATATATGAAGTTCATATATTTTGAACTGCGGTATTAAATACGTATGATGCACGATCCTTCGCAGTAGATAGCGCTATTTATGCAATAGCGAAAATCAGACCTGAAAAAAATCAGGCCTGTACGGGATTCGAACCACTGACCTCTGCGATACTAGTGCAGCGCTCTACCAATTGAGCTAACAAGCCAACTGGGAGCAGGCCGTTAAGTTGATTCGTAATAAACCCGTGATGATAAATCAGATACAATGAATATATGAAGTTCATATATTTTGAACTGCGGTATTAGATACGTATGATGCACGATCCTCGCAGTAGAGAGCGCTATTTATGCAATAGCGAAAATCAGACCTGAAAAAAATCAGGCCTGTACGGGATTCGAACCACTGACCTCTGCGATACTAGTGCAGCGCTCTACCAATTGAGCTAACAAGCCAACTGGGAGCAGGCCGTTAAGTTGATTCGTAATAAACCCGTGATGATAAATCAGATACAATGAATATATGAAGTTCATATATTTTGAACTGCGGTATTAAATACGTATGATGCACGATCCTTCGCAGTAGATAGCGCTATTTATGCAATAGCGAAAATCAGACCTGAAAAAAATCAGGCCTGTACGGGATTCGAACCACTGACCTCTGCGATACTAGTNTCTACTGCGAGGATCGTGCATCATACGTATCTAATACCGCAGTTCAAAATATATGAACTTCATATATTCATTGTATCTGATTTATCATCACGGGTTTATTACGAATCAACTTAACGGCCTGCTCCCAGTTGGCTTGTTAGCTCAATTGGTAGAGCGCTGCACTAGTATCGCAGAGGTCAGTGGTTCGAATCCCGTACAGGCCTGATTTTTTTCAGGTCTGATTTTCGCTATTGCTTAAATAGCGCTATCTACTGCGAGGATCGTGCATCATACGTATCTAATACCGCAGTTCAAAATATATGAACTTCATATATTCATTGTATCTGATTTATCATCACGGGTTTATTACGAATCAACTTAACGGCCTGCTCCCAGTTGGCTTGTTAGCTCAATTGGTAGAGCGCTGCACTAGTATCGCAGAGGTCAGTGGTTCGAATCCCGTACAGGCCTGATTTTTTTCAGGTCTGATTTTCGCTATTGCATAAATAGCGCTATCTACTGCGAAGGATCGTGCATCATACGTATTTAATACCGCAGTTCAAAATATATGAACTTCATATATTCATTGTATCTGATTTATCATCACGGGTTTATTACGAATCAACTTAACGGCCTGCTCCCAGTTGGCTTGTTAGCTCAATTGGTAGAGCGCTGCACTAGTATCGCAGAGGTCAGTGGTTCGAATCCCGTACAGGCCTGATTTTTTTCAGGTCTGATTTTCGCTATTGCATAAATAGCGCTATCTACTGCGAAGGATCGTGCATCATACGTATTTAATACCGCAGTTCAAAATATATGAACTTCATATATTCATTGTATCTGATTTATCATCACGGGTTTATTACGAATCAACTTAACGGCCTGCTCCCAGTTGGCTTGTTAGCTCAATTGGTAGAGCGCTGCACTAGTATCGCAGAGGTCAGTGGTTCGAATCCCGTACAGGCCTGATTTTTTTCAGGTCTGATTTTCGCTATTGCATAAATAGCGCTATCTACTGCGAAGGATCGTGCATCATACGTATTTAATACCGCAGTTCAAAATATATGAACTTCATATATTCATTGTATCTGATTTATCATCACGGGTTTATTACGAATCAACTTAACGGCCTGCTCCCAGTTGGCTTGTTAGCTCAATTGGTAGAGCGCTGCACTAGTATCGCAGAGGTCAGTGGTTCGAATCCCGTACAGGCCTGATTTTTTTCAGGTCTGATTTTCGCTATTGCATAAATAGCGCTCTCTACTGCGAGGATCGTGCATCATACGTATCTATAACTGCAGTTCAAAATATATGAACTTTCATATATTCATTGTATCTGATTATGCATATTCATGTACAGGAATGTGTAAATACAGACTTTGACAGGGAGGCAATAATAGGAATTGAAAAGTGTCCATAAGTAGAGCTATCCACTTACAAGAGTGTCTGGTAGCTGAGAGCTGACTGTAGCTGCTTTGAAACACATACAGAACCCAAGATAACAATGTTTCAAGCATTTTCTGGCATTGAACATTTCACACTTAATAAATAAAATTGTTCACGTCTGGAATAATAGATCAGTTTTCCTGGAGATAACTACATAATTATATCTTATTAACCAAGCGCGAGGGCCGTACTGGGAGAACGGCCCAAGGTCTTGACAGTAAGGACCAAGCGCAGCGAGGTCCGTACAAGAAAGACCGAGGGCCGATATTCTTCCAGTACGGTCCCGAGCAAGCTTGGTTAATAAGAGATTTATTATACGACTGAAGTTCAAAGGGACACAAGTGCGGTATCATTCAGGACCATTCGGGACCGTGCCCAGTCCAATACTGAGAGAATATCAACCGGCAATAGAGCATTTTGATTGGTTGATTTTAGTTATTAGTTATTGGCCCTCTGACTGCCCGAGTCATGTAATAATAATCTCTTATTCTCTTTTGATGATCAAGAGAAAACTGATAAGAAACATATTTTCATTAACAAAAGCAAACTGTAGGTTATGGTAACAGAAAGATCAGTAGAAACACTTTGTAATTACTGGCCAAGTAACAAACTCACACTACTTTTGCAATAAGCTTCTTTAATGAGAATTGAAGTTACACTGAATTTTGATTTAGAAGGCAGTTCAGGAGTGAAAATGACATTAGATGTTCTAAGAAGGAAAAAGATGTGTTGTCTTTCATTTAGTGCACAATCCACATTTCGTGAAAATTGTTTTTCTTTGAAATCTCTCTGCAGGATCCAAAAGAAGTTCTAGAAAAAATATCAAGAAAACTTCCAGTTTTTACGCAGACTGTATCAGGAGGTAAGATCCTAGTTGAACTGGACTTTCTTGCTTCTTGTAGCCTCGCAATGAGTCTTAAAAAATAATTGATTAAAATTCTTTTGCAGCTGCTAGGTATTGTGATATTTGTCAAGCTATCAAACCAGACAGATGTCACCACTGCTCCATGTGTAGAAAGTAAGTTGAACAAGAGGAGATTGACAAGATTAACAATGAAAAAAAAAATCTGATTTTTTATCAATATGATTTTTTTAAGCATTGTAGAACATTCCTGAAATATTTAATCATAACATTTCTAGAAGGGGTGGGGATGTATGGTACAAAACCAAATGCAGTAACTTAACCCTTGATTTCCAAAGCTAAATGGCTAATTACTTCTCTCTTTTAGTTTCTACACATTTTCCTTGTAATTTAGACTAAAGGATTTGGGGCACCATTAAACTAAAAAAGTTTTTGTTTTCTCTTTACTTGATTGTGGAGTAATGAAGCCCTCATACTGTGGGGGAAGGTTTCACTTTATTCAATTAGGAATCAAGAAAAGAAATGTTTTCTAATAAGTTATTTTATATTTGTTACAGATGTATTTTGAAAATGGATCATCATTGTCCGTGGGTGAATAACTGTGTTGGATTCACTAACTACAAGTTCTTTCTCCTATTCCTGTTTTATGCGATCCTTTACACACTCTATGTCACAGCAACAGTTACAAAATATTTCATTGCGTTTTGGAATGTAAGTACAAGAAATTTGCAATATCATAACATTTTACCTTTTCTAATTTACATGGAAGTCAAGGATTTGAAACCTGTGGGTCTGTGGGTGCCATGTTAGATTAACCAGTAAAATTGAAGAACAGCTCCCCAAAATATCTGTCGGCCAACTGTTGGCAAACGAAACACAGAAAACACAACGAAAACACAACGAAAACACAACAGAAACACAATGAAAACACGGGCTCGTGCAATTTTGTGAGTCTTTGAAAAAATTTACTCGTATTGCTAATTAGTATAATTTCAGAGCTGAGCAAATAGTTTCCATCAATCTTATTGGTCAAGCGGTTCCTTATATGACGCTATATAAACCACTCCACGCAGTTTATATAAAATGCTAAAATAGAATGTTAATAATTGTTACTAAAATGTTGTGATTTTAGAAATTTATCTGTTGTTCAGGTTCAGTGAATATTGTCGAATAATCCTCTCAACTTCGTCCCGCGGATTATTCGACGATATTCACCTCACCTTTGGCAAATAATTGTTAAATCTAAGTAACTAAACTCTTCCAATTTCAGCGGAACGAAATGTGTCAGTCAGATACTACACATCAAGTTTACATAAATGAAGATTGATATGGCCAATAATGCCTCACACTCAAAATTTACCTCTATCATGTGGTGTTCATCAAAATTCATTTTGAGGTAATTGTGAAAGTTCAAACTTACCAAGATGACAGTCTATTTACTCGTTTCTGAATTTGTTTTCATTATGTTGGCCAACTGTTGGTGAACAGTTGGCCGACAGTTGGCTGACAGACATTTTGGGAAGCTGTTCTTCAATTTTACCGATAAACCCAGCCTTGCAAAATTTGTAAAGGTTTAATATCACTGTTGACTTAAAGAACTTGTTTTTTATTTAGGTGTTTGTTTCAGGGTTGTTGTACCCCCATTGTTGCAAAGTTTAATGTTGTCATTTTCTTGTCTTTAACAGAACTCTTTGGAAGGTGATGGAAAATTGCACGTTTTGTTCTTGTTTTTCGTTGCCCTTATGTTTTGTATAAGTCTTTGGTCACTATTTGGTTACCATTTATATCTTACTGGTAACAACAAGACAACACTTGGTGAGTTTGAAATTTTGATTGTTATCTTTTTGTTCCACTAAATATGTACATGATAATGAAGTAAATGTCTTTCAAAGAACACAAAATAAGTAATGAAATGAGTGATATTTTGAACCACTGATAATAACAAAGTTCAGAAATGATCTTTACTGGTAGGCTGCAATTAAATCAGCTGCAGAAAAGAAACCTGAAAAAATTTAGGCCTCAACAGAATTTGAACCAGTGCCTCCCAGTTATAATGGTTAGGTGTCCAACTGGGAAGTGCAGGTGAAAATTGCATGGAAGCCTTAATTTTTGTCAGACTTCTTTTCTGCAGTTGCTTTAATTGGGGTTCACCTGAATAGATCTTTTCTTTTCTTTGTAAAACATAAGTAGTCTACTTGAGCCTGATTTGTTTTGACCCCACCTTCTCCACATACCCTTTGATAATTTAATGTCATGTGAGTTCAATTTTTTTCTGTGAAAAAATTAAGTCTTTATGACAAATTTTGCTGCATATGATTTGCAGTGTTCTTCATTTCAAGTTCTGAAATATTTTGCAACAAAATTGTGTAGTTTTTGTAGTGTTCATTACAATTACAGGAAAGTTTTAATTTGCTTGTTTGTGGTGATGTACATGTAGTTCATCCATTTCTTTCCTAACAGAGTCATTCAGAGTTCCCCATTTCTCCTATGGCCCAAACAAGGATGGTTTTAGTTTGGGAACTGCAATAAAGAATGCAGAACAAGTTCTGGGACTCAACAAGTGGTATTGGTTTTTACCTATTTTCACGAGGTAAGAGTTTTATAAATACATTCACCACCATCACCCCCTCCCACCATACATACCCTCCCCTCCCCTCCCAGAGTACCCTGCTAAAACATCATGTTGGAGATAGGTACCACACAGTTACCTATGCCACCCTCAACTCCACCATTTTTTTGGGTTTTACCTCCATCACCACTCCCCCCCACTGTACATACCCTCCCCTCCTAGAGTGCTCAGCTAAACACCGTGTTGGATATAGGAGTAACCCTTTAGAGTAACCTGTACCACCCTCAACTCCACCCTCTGTTTTATTGTGTTTTGTCACTGCCAACACTCTCCCCTCATTATTCTTACCCTACCCTCCCAGAATACTCAGCTGAACACCATGTCGGAGATAGGTACCACATCGTAACCTACGCCATCGTGAAGTCCACCGTTTGCTTTATTGGTTTCATACACGTTAAAAAAATGATAAAGAAAATAAGGGCTGGCTCATCAAAACTTTGACCCTGAAGAGTGACTAGCTTCTAATTTCTCCTTACAATATCACAGTTGAAAAGAATATTTGGGTTACAAGAATGAAGGAAATGATCACTAACTAAAGAAGCTCTCATTGTTACTGGACTTCTCCTTCTCAGCACCCTAGAAAAAATATGGAGAATGTGCATACAGATGCAATGGCACAAAAGGTTAAAAGAACATGTCTGCAAGTTTAAGATCTGTATGTAAATCTCAAAACTGAACTTGCACCATACTTCTAGTACAAATAGGATAATACCAGTAGAATCTTGATCAGTCTTGATATTTTCCAATGGTTAATTTTTTGGACAGTATTGGTGATGGAGTTCACTTCCCATCAATAAACCAACCAGAGCAAGACTCGCTTTTAAATGATCAGCAAAGATGGATGGAAGAAGGGGAGTTGGATCCACAGGACACCCACTCCAGTGATGACAAACAAGATTCGATAACTGTGGCCATTGATATTACATCAGAAGAGCTGGTGCATGAGAATGAAGTGGAAACTCAGATGCCATATGCTCCCAGAGCCAAACCGGACGTCCTGGCAGTGCAGGAAGATGACATTCAAGATGGGACGGCATTGTAATATCCACAAGTGTCCCTGCTGGAACTGCTTGTATTGCTTGAATGCTGAGTTGGTATTTCATCTCCACGATGGTCATTGTAAAAGTAACGCTGGCTTATAAACTTTTTCGTTGTCTTATTAACTCTTCATGTCATTTTGCTGGAATGAAGCAAAAACCATTCAGACTATGACAAACAAATGATGGACGCACGCTGACGCAAGAACCAGCGGATTAATTAGGTTTTGTGATCATTTTAGGTAAGAGTCTGGTGACGGGTTTTTTATATTTACATACGACTATAAGGGCACCTGTGTTTTACTTTCGCGCCAAATAAGGAGAATTCTGTACAGTTTTTTTTATAGAAGCTCAGAGGTTGGAATGTGTAAACTTAACATTTAGTTTATTTATCACATAGTCCTTGAAAGTCAGAATACATCTTGAACTGGTTTGCTAGTTAGATGATTAAATTAAGTTTTCGAGACTAGGTAATTGTTTCTTAAATATAATTTTGTATCTGCATTTTTTTT